CCTAAAACTAGAACAGCCCACATCCTTAACTATTTGCGAAGAGTAATCTAATCTAGGTCTACCTCTACCCCTCCTAACTCCTGTTTCTGCCTCTAATATATCTCTGACTAGACCTTCATGCCTGAGAAGGTGTCCCACTAACCTATCTCGCCTATTTCTTATTAACATCCATAGAGTCCTCTGCTCTCCTATTCTTTCTAATACCTCTTCATTTCTAACCTTTTCTACCCACGTTATTCTCATCATCTGCCTATAACACCACATTTCGAAGGCTTCTAACCTTTTCTTTTCCGCCGCGCCCACTGTCCATGTTTCTCACTCGTACAACGCCATGCTCCAAACATACACCTTTAACAACCTTTTTCGAATTGCTAAATGACCAAATCATCTAAAAATCTTACTTTGTTTCAACAAGTTAATACCCACCGTTAATAAAGTTCATCAGGACGTTTACTTCAGTGAGTATAAATTAGTAAAANCTAACCTTTTCTACCCACGTTATCCTCATCATCCGCCTATAACACCACATTTCGAAGGCTTCTAACCTTTTCTTTTCCGCCGCGCCCACTGTCCATGTTTCTCACTCGTACAACGCCGTACTCCAAACATACGCCTTTAACAACCTTTTTCGAATTTCTAAATGACCAAATCATCTAAAAATCTTACTTTGTTTTAACAAGTTAATAACCATCGTTAATAAATTTCATCAGGACGTTTACTTCAGTGAGTATAAATTAGTAAAAATGTGTCTTTTATTGTATTATAATTATACAAATAAAAAAAATTGATATGTCTGCCTATAGTAGTATGGAAATTAGTACCATTTTATAGGTCCATACGGTTATAAAATATGTACAAATGATCTTTAAGAAAAATTGTATGTCTGTACGGACTAATTTTCAAAACGGCTTAACCGATTTAAATAAGGCTTAACAGCCAATATGAAGATTGTCTATTTATTTGTATGGGGTAATTTTCGAAAAGGCGGAATTGATTTCGATGAAGCTTTTTTAAGAGAAAGATGTAGAAGCTGGTTTATAGTATGCCTAGTAATTAAGTAAGAATAAACTAAATTTACATTTTGATACTTATTTTTTCCTAAAGGTTTTTATTAAGGAACTGATTATTATCAAAACTGCATCAAAAATGATAAAAAGTAAATATTGTTTCAAATCAACTTCAAGTGTATTACTCAAAATAAATACTCAGTAGGTACATATCATCAATAAAACTGACGTTGAAAAGTATTGTGCGATAAATGTGCAGAAAAATAAATATCTTTTGTGTGCATTACTGTTAATCCAGGTAGAATTCAAGTTAAGTTAATTTATAACTAATACTCGTCTGCCAGTGTTTTATTTAGTGCAGTTCCACAGATCTCAATTTAATTTTCTTGTATTTCTTATGTTACTTACCAAAAAATAAAAGTAATAGAAATAAGTAAGTAAATACCATATTTCAAGTCAGAGTCGTGGGATATGGACTATAGCAAATAAATCTCTTCTCCACAAGTGATTATTTTGTAAACTGTCTTTATTGGTAATTAAAAAAATATCGAAATTATAATTTGATATTTTTAGTGGCACTTAGTTTAAAACTTACGAACTAAAGCGATTTTCGTTGTAAAAGCAGAATATGTATATTGTAAAAATGTAAATATAATTTGTAGTATTGAACAACAATCCTAATTATCTAGGATTTCATTTCGTTAAAAATTCGTTTTATTCGGTTCAGTTCATAAAGCTAATTTTGTACTGTTTGGCAGATATTATCTATTTTATGGGTTGGCTTAGTTGAGAAGGAAAAAACTACTGTACTATACATAAGGCACTTAATTTTATCATGGATTAATCGGTTCTTCTCTGAAATAGTTATGTTCCAGAGCTTCTTGGGCACTTATTCGCTTATCAGGGTTAAAGCACAGCATTTTCTTAAAATTTAAATAGAAAATAATTATCAAATAAAAACACATGTACATTATCGTACCATTATAAGATCATAAGCATTATCACACATATTTGGAATTAAAGTCCTCAAATTTAATTTTTTTCTAACTTCAAACGAATTGTACTTTATAGGAGTAATAGTTTTAGGCCATTCCTGTTCTGAAGGCTTACCTAAAATTCTGGAAAAAATCAAAAAATTATAAGATGTAAAAATTTAAGTATATACTTAAAAGCAATTGTGCCTTGTGTAGGTCGCACATATATCAAATTAAAGGTCTTGACATTATATATTCACTATAAAAGAATGGAGGACGATTGGGCACACAGCTCTCACATGTGTGACTAAAACGCGCTCCATAGGAATAGTTCACATTCATCCAGACGGGCATATCGCGAGTACCGAGTAAAACTCAAAAACTCCAAAAATGTTAACTGTAGCACTATCTACATGACTAAAAGTATTGCGATATTTTAGGGCCCAAACACACACACTATATACCTATAACCACTTTGCTTAAGTTCATAGAAAGATTATTACTTACTGAAATATTTTACTTAATTGATCCCCTTCTGAACTTCCCCTGAATAAGGGTTTAAGTGAATACAATTCTGCAGTAATACATCCAACCGACCAAATGTCTAGTGGAGTGGCATACGGAAGTCCCAAAAGAATCTCAGGTGATCTGTACCATAACGTTACAACCTAAAAGAAGTAGTATTTATTTGAATTTGCTAAACTCAATGGGTTTATCACACTTACTACAGATGTCAGTCTCATTTCAAAGTCGTAAGTTTTGGCCAATCCGAAATCGGCCAATTTAATATTACCTGATTGGGTAACTAGAATGTTTTGGGGTTTTAAGTCTCTGTGAACTATCCTATGACTATGTAAAAAATCTACGCCGCTAAGAATTTCTTTTGACATACTCTGAAATGTATAAGAAATAATTTTAATAAAAATAGTCCATTAAAAAATGAAAAATTTATGTTTCATTCCCACCAGCTACTAACAGTCGGAATGGCTGGGTGGTGGTGGTGGTGGTTGGGGAGAAGCAGACGAGACAGACGAAATGAAGATAAAAGATTAGGGAATGAAACGAGAGGATTTCAGCATTTGCTTAAATAATACAAGGGAATCACAGACGTATCAGGAATCGATCCTTTGTCATTTCGAATGTTAAGGTAAGATCTAAACCTCTAGACCATATTGCACAGTGATAATCTAATAAAGCCGAGCTTTGCGAACTTAACAAATCAATTAAAAATTAAAATAAAAAAAAACAAATTAATCTACATTCTGAATTTAGTCTACATAATCTTGGGAGTATAAGGATTTTAAATTTTAAAATGATTGAATAGTAGGTATTTGCTATTACTTGTGATGGTTTTAAAATAAACAAATTAACAGTGCCAAGTTCGAAATATTATAAACAAATTAAGATTAATTTTTTACCCTAATTTTATTAGTATTTATTCCTCCACAAAACGAAAGCGCTTGCTTTTCTATGTATGACGCTAAGTCTTGGTCAACATGTTCAAAAACAAGAAACATCACCAACTCCTTCTCAAATCTTTGTCCATGGCAAATGTCCAAAAGCCTAACAATATTGGGGTGTTCATATGTATCGAGTTGTTTGAGAAGTCCAATTTCTCTTAAGGCACTCATGGGGATACCTTCTTCTGATAAAGGTACCTTTACTTTTTTTAAGGCAACTATCGTATTATTCGACCTGTTTCTGGCCTTATACACCATTCCATATGCTCCTATAAAGATTAGTAAACAATTCATAGATTGTTTTACTAAATTAACTATAATTATACAATATGACAGTATATCAAAAAGAAGTAGCATAAAGTGCCTCCTACAAGTACCAGAGATGTGATTTATTTGAAATGCTTGCATTTAAAATTAAATACAAAATATAAAAATACCTATTTAAATGCTTTTGTGAGAAAATCATTTTGTATTTTATTTAAAATACTTTTCCAAAAGTATTTTCTCTTTGTAAAATGTAAATGTTTTGCTAATATCACCGATCTAATGATATAAAATGATGAATGAAAGTTGCTCACATTGGCTACTAAAGGTATTAGAAGCTTAAAAAGGGGACAAAGAGACATTCCATGAATGTCTTCTAATTGTTTAACTGAAGACGACACAAAAAATTCTAAACTCCTTGGACATGGATAATCTAAAATATTGAATCGATATTGTTTTCCGGGTTCAATATCATAGTCCATGGAATTTTGAAATTCAAAATTGATATCAGCACCAGCCAAATCACCACTTATCGTACCCTTAGCAAGAAACTACGAAATTTTATGAATTACTACGAAACATCCCACAACACAATATCGAATTGATATACGTCACCTGTGTAAAACTGAAAATTACATAATAATGCCTATAATCCAAAATTCTTAGAAAACGATTCGGAAAACTTCACTTGATGAACCCAAAGCTAAACAAACTATGAATTCCATTTCGCTCTCTTATTACAATGTGTAAAAGATCGGAAACAAAATGGGGTTGCAGATGTTTTGATATAAAATGATTGATGTTGATTTTACATCAATAAAATTATTTGCAACCCTATTTTGGTTTTGATCTGTCACGCTAAACAAACTATTTTGACATCAGTATCTTTTTACCAATTAAAACGGGTGACAAAGCAAATGAGGAAGCATATAGAAGAATTATTTGCTGCTGAACTGAAGAAACTATAACATAAGGAAAGAAAAACTATATCTCAATCACTTCAAACAGAAAAATATGAATCAACTCAATCATCTAAACCTTCGCAGCTGGTGATATAATGCAAACATCACTATTAGTCTAGAAACACTCCAGTATTTAAATTCTTAAAAAACGTATTAAACTTAAGTGAATGTAGAAAATTAAAAAGGTACTACAAAAAAGGATTTTGAAAATACGTATTTTGCATTTAGCATTTAAAATACGAAAGTGAAATCTATCATGTATTTTACATTTGAAATAACAAATCAAAAAAGTATTTGCATTTTGTATTTAAATACCTTTAAAAAACCATTTTGCACATCTCTGATAAGTAGCTACATCATCAAACACACTTTTTATATTTGATAGTTATCGGTAAGTTAAAGTATCTAAAAAAATTCCGTATTTTTTCCGCTTGTTTTCAAACAAACCATAAAACACCATCTTGTGATTACTGTTACAAGTTAGTAAAAACAAAAATAAAAGATCCATTTAAGTAATACGTGATGCCGTTTTGAGGAGTTTTGATTTTCTTTCCCCTTATAACGTTAAGTACAGTTTTTCTCTACCCCCCACTCCTCACCCTTCCTCACTCAATGTTACGTGTTACGTAACAGGTTGCTTGATCCCCCTATAACGTACAGTGACATTTTACATGACAGCCACTCCCCCCACCTACGTTTCGTAATATTCCCAGAAGCTAACATATAACATTTACCTTATTTGATTAAAGGTCCTTAAAAGGAATGTTAAATAAAACAAAGAGTACTTATACTAGGAATAATATCATTATATGTAATATTTACCTTTACCAATAACATCAATTTCTTCGTATATGTTCTTGGTTTGAACATTTTCGGAAGTTCGTTCATATGACATATTTTTAAAGTCCACTCCTACACACTGAAATGTCTCTAGAAATATAAAAAAGGCATTTACTTGTAAGGATAATTGCTTACAGCAAGTTTCTATGGTCAGCTATACTCAAGGCCAATGACAAAACTATTTAGCGGTTAAATACAAACGTATGACCTCAATGTAATAATCACGTACAATAGCGAACTTGAACTTATAGTTCCGGCAAGGTTTAAATCATGTTCTAAGAAAATAGTTTCGAATACAGTTCAAATACCCATCCATGAATAAAATTTACAGCAAAAACCGAACCTCTATAATATCGATAAATACAAGATGCAAGTTTTATCAACATTGCTGTAAAATAATTACCAAATTTAATATAAATAATTCAACGTATCTGTTACCGGTATTAAACGTAGATACTGAGATACTTAAAGTACATTGTTTTCCTTAATCGTGGAAATTGTGAATACTTGAAATTGAAATTTATGCTTACTGATAAATAATAAAAACATTATAGTTTCAAGCATACCGAATGCTTCCTTTGGTGCAGATTTTATTGAAATTTCATAAACACAGACATTTATATATGTGGAATTGGATTATATCGCGAATCGCAAATTTACACCTTCAGGGGTGATATTTTGAGAACTCAATTTATAATAGATGATACTGTTATATAAAAAACCTTTGTGCAAAATTTCAAACTTCCTGAGCTCAGAGCCTTAGCCGATATATTAAACATCCTTTTCACCCTTTTTGGGGTTGAATTTTCGAAAGTCCTTTAATAGTACTCATCTATGTTTTATAAGTAAACTTCGTGCAAAATTTTAAGTCGTTAGATTCCGGGGTTTGGGCTATACATTGATGGTTTAAAAGTAGCGAGTTTCTTAAGGATATTTGGGAGGTATGTCAGAATGTTACGAGACAAATAAAAATTTGGAAGAACGTTCCTCATTCAATTCTAAAAATTTTGTAAAAATTTATTGAAATTTTCAAAAATTGTAATTTTACACGTCATTTTATGAAGATTCCTTAACCGAACAGATTAAGCTACTAGAAATTTCAAACTTTTATAATAAGTAACTTGAACTCTGGAAAATCACTTTAGTGTAAGGTTATTCAAATTCACTATATGGTTATCGAGGAAAAAATGAAAAATTAGCTGAAAATCTCGTTTTTACTTGATAATATAATGATAATATTTATAATTGTCTGAAATAAATGCAATTTTAAAGTTTTAATTATTATTTAAACATATTAAAAAGTTTTACGCTCATTATTAATAGAGATTGAAACTAAATATTTTTTTGTTTCGAAGTTGAAATCAAGGCATATTCACTGCCAAAAGTCAGTTAAAAATTTTCCATATTATTCGTTATTTCTTATTTTATTCAACGTTTTTGGTCAAATTCCAAATTTTCTCTCAAACGTATACTTTTTTTTTAGTATAGATAATATTTATTTGCCTCATGATATGCTGTAAAACCTAATTAATCACGAATTTCTAATTTTATGTGCTCTTGTCTCTGATTGTACCTCCCAAACATCCTTAAGTCTAAGTGAGATGTGAAGTTACTGGCTGATGATGAAGATACCGTAGATAGAAAAGGTTATTATCAATGGCGGGCTATTAGAAAGAATAGGAAAACAAAGGGCTCTGTGGAAGTCAATAAGGAAAAGGAAGAAGAAAGAACAGGAATAAAAAGGAGAAGAGGTTGATTTAGATTAAATTACTGTACACAAATAGTTAGGCATATGGGATGTTCTAGTTTTAGAAAAATGCGAAAAAATAATATGAAATCTAAATTAGAATTACAGTTGATTCATTTAAATGGACTACAAAAGCTTAATTCGACTTTTTATTTATAAAACATATATGGTGTTTAAGAAACATAAGTTAAGTTCAAACATGTTGTATAAACTGCACATAAGCGTTATGTCCTCTTTATAGAGGGTAGATAACGTTCACTGTTGTGGATAGCAGATAACCTTACCATTGAAAGACTACTGTTACCCATCCAAATTTGGAAGGATGGCTAACTGTTGTTGATGGTTACACTTACATTTTAACTACAGTGTTCATAACTTATTTTAACTTAAGAATTCCTCGATGAGCATTTCGCCACAGCCACGTCTATCTTAACTGCACCAATTTCCTTTATAATCCTACGTGGAACATTTCATTGTATGTATAGTGATATGGTGAAATAAATTGATAAAAATGTACTTTATTCACACCAACTGCTAATGCTGGTGGACGGGCAATCTCTCCGGACTTAGCCGGAGAATAGGGCGGAAGGTTCTCTTCAGCCTGCTTTCAGGAATCGTGGGAATGGGTGTGCGGCAGTTGGGGTGAGTAAGATGAGACGGATGAAATGAAGACATAAGAAGTACGAAGACTAACTATTTGTAGAATATTACTGTTGCCCCTGCATTTTCCTAAGTGACTCAAAGAAACCACATAGGAACTTGGATCAGAGCAGATAGACCCGAAATCAAACCAGTGACTTCCCGAATGCTAAGCAATAGACTAAACCTCTAGGCCATTTAGCTCGGTAGTAAAGTGTACATTCGTACTACTTTATGAGCAAATAAACTGAAACGTATGTTATGTAGCATACAAAGTTAGTTACGACTCACGTTCACCCTCCTTGACTACTCTTAATACGACGTAATATATTATACATAGACGCACTCTATAAAGTCAAAACTGCTTTTATTTTGCAGGACAAATGATTTATTAGCAATAAATAATTTCCGTGAGATAAATAAGTCAAACGTGTGTAATTTCAGCATGAGAAAAGGGAATAATAGAGTTATAATTTTCAGCGGTTGTACAATTTTTTAATTAACAGTTTAATTAACAATTAATTTCCTACTTTAACCATTCTGATAATATAAGCAATAAAGAGCAATTTTCTGTTTTTTTGCATTTCCAAGCAAAAAACACGATATTAAATTTGATAAAGTACGTATTAGAGAATGGAAAATCCTTACTAATATCCAGGATTTTTGTAATAACGCAACATTTTTGTAATTACTGTTTCTCATTTGATTCATATACTTGCACCCCCATAATGAGATCGCATTTGACTATATTGTAATTTTCTATGCATTATCGACATGTAAAAATGTGTAAAAAAAATAATAATCTTTAACTAATCCTGCAATTTGACTGAATGGTAATCAAAAATGTTTTTAATCATATCATACACATGTAAAAAGTAAACAAAAAAGTTAACAATCATTTTACTAGTTTAAAAAAAAACACATTTTTGATACATTACAAAATTGAAAATATTTTAAAACAATGGTGTTATGATTTTAATTGATGATATTGTTGCTCGTGAACTAAAAAAAGTATTTCATATAATAAATTGATAATATTAAACAAATAAGATAATCTGCTAATTAAAATTAAATTAACATAGTTCATAAAACACATAAAATTGTAAGCTTCAATTAAATAATAAGTATTTATGTATGAATGTATCTATATCCAAAACATATAAAAGCACTACCTAAGACTATCAATTTACAAAAAATGTGTTGATTAAAATATGAAAATACATATATGTACAAAACAAAGATTTGGAAAAAATTCAAGAATCTTGAAAAGAATAGAGTAATGTAGATAAAACCTCATTTTTATTTCAAATTTTAAAATGGAGATAATTAAATTTTTTTTAATTAGTTCTACTGGGCATTACGCGGTAGTAAATTATAGTTTTTGTAATATTACGAATTGTTTTTTTTTTCTTAAACTAAAGTTGTAATTAAAAGAAGATTCCGTGGTAATAACCGTATTTATGCTTGGGAAGACTTTATAAAACTAACAGCAAATCAGAGTATTTCAAATTTACATTAAAATACACGGTACAGAGGAAATGAGCGTACTCTAGTGTGAAATTGAGCCAAAGACCGAGACCATAGTAAATCTTTAAATCCATGAGATATTTAAAAATTAAAGATCTACTTTATGAAGTTATTATTTTCCTCAAACTCTGGTTTCAATTTATAAACTTCAAACTGTGTATATTGAACAAAACTGTGTCCTTTAAGTTACCCTATTTTACAAAGACCTAAATTGAAAAAAAAATTATGTTTTCTAAAAATCTACCATATTAAAAATATTAAAATTGAAAAGTATTTTATGGGGTAGTCAAGTCACAGTTATTTTACCATTAATGAATAAAGAACACATTTTTGGGGGTATGTTTTAATTTTTTTAGAAATAGGTACATATGAGCGCATTATTTTTAAAAAATCAAACGCCTATCTAGGTATATAATTATTTTTTTAAAGCACAATGGAAAAATATTTTTAGGCCGTCCTTTGATACCTTTACCCTATGCGTTTTTTTAATAAACATAATTTGCAGACAAAATAATCAGTTTTAAATTAAAAAAATTGAAAATTACAACTATAACGGTCGTTGCACGTTTACCAATAACTGACATGTAAATTATCACACAGTACGTATTAAAAAAATAGATAAAGATGCTTTTTTCACTACAAACGCTGAAAATATTTATTGAAACTTTAATTTTAATTGTATGTCTGTGTATATGAAACAGGTAAAATGGCCCTGTGGATGGTAGTTAAAAAACAGACTTGTTTGAAACGTAACCGATTAAAGATTCAAAAGTTCCTTACCATTTAAATTAAAATTGCTGTATTATGTAATTCCTTATCACTCCTTTGACTTTACCGAGTACTGACGGGTAATTTATAAATTTGTAAATTCTCAAAAAACTGAATTAATGTAAACAAAATAATTTGATGAGAAAGAAAACGGATTGTAGGTTATACTAGCAGAAACCTGAATGCCGCATGAATGAACTTAAGGGGCCAGGGGAGATCTACATACAATCAACAGTTGGTCAAAACAGGACCGGGTGCTAGAAAATTAAAGTTTCACGCTAACATATGGTTAACGTGCAAATATAAAATATATCTAATAAAACTTTTTAAATATTACCTTCAATCGAATCTCATTCTAGTTTTATATTTTTATATGATGCATAGGTTATTCAAATGGTCATTTTTAACAATGTATTATGATTTTTTTTTTGAAACATAAATATGCTACTTTTATTAAAATAGGTAACCCTAAACTTAAAAGATCTTTTTATCTTATACTGTGATATTCTGAAACCAATCAATTCTATGGCAAATGAATTAAAAAATAAGAAGTAATAGGTGAGACTATTGTCCATTATAAAATTGTAATAGAATGAGGCGTATGTTAATTGGTATTACTTATTAATTATTTACTTATCGAATTGTAAGTATATGAAAAAGTTTTGTTGAATAAAATTTTATGTTATATTACGATTGAATTTCATTGATGAATATTTTAAACAGCATTATTTTCATTACAATGTCGTTTTGTTTGTTTGTGATAGGTTTGAGACTAGCGTAGTCCTAGGAAGTTTAGTAAAATATAAAAGTCCGTCTCTGGTATGATGTAATACAATTACTATACCGTATACCAGTTCTCGTAATGTCACTTAAACACATGCTAACATCTTGAGCATTCCAAGGAAGTAAAAACCCCTGAAAATTATACAACTAGTAATACAGACAGTTCAGCTAACGAAAATATTTTCTAATAAAAGCGAAATTATCTTTGCACAATGAGGTCTTATATTTGTATGCTAGTATGTGGCTTTTATCTCAGAAATATTTGTAAACCGTTCATACGATTGTAACAAGAACCACTCTGAAAAGTATATTTTATATGAACGTGCCAACATTTTATTTTGTTTTCTTAATTAATATGTTGCAAAATATTCCTTTAATAACTATAAATTTTGATGGATTTTAATACTTTCAATAAAAAACACGATTTTCTTATGCTTACAAAAACGTTGGACCCATTATTAGTATAAGTTGGACGAGGTTTGTAATATTAAACATTTGATTAATTTAGCAGTTAAATTAATAATTATGTACCTATAATAAATAATAACAAGCAATAATAATTAATAGATTTAATAAAGTCTGATTTGGCAGGTACTCATGTAAATCATTTTTATTTAGGAATAATCGTCTATTTACAATTATAAAAACACTTGTACATATAAATAATAAATCAAATAAGAAAAACAAATAAAATAAACTGATACTAGTGAGACTTGCAGTTTATGAATGTCAAATTAAAAATTACATAAATTCAATCAAAAATACATAATAAAAGGGTACTACAGTCCTGTTACATCTGTTATTTTGATATTAACTTTTGTTTATGAATAGTTTAGCTTTTTTTCAAAATCAAGAGCAAAAGGGAGAGTTTATTGGGCCCAAAGCTGCTCACACTAATAATTTTGGGAAATTGTAGATATTTATAATGTATAACGTAGATAAATTCTGAATATTGAAATTAAATAAAGATATTTAAGTAAAATTTTTATTGATGTAATTTTTTTAATATCAGGATCTTTAAAGTTTTAATAAATGTTTATAGAATGTTTTTTCATTATGCATTCGTGTATATTTCAAATAACAATAAATCGCAGTTATGTAATAAAAAACAATGCTTTCTTAAATGAAACGTTTAGTAAAAAGACGTGAAACTTATATTTTTACTTTATGTAATTCTTTAACGTCTTAAACATATTTTATTAGTATCCTATTATTTTAATTCTAATTAACCACAGTACCTATTATGATTTTATTTGTACATACGACAACAACACCAAAAAATTGAACTATAAATTCTTATTTCTCCTGCAAAAATTTCTATATAATATTTAACAATAACAAATCGAAGCAAAAATTACAGTAAAACCAACACCGTCGTTATAAAAATTAATATAACAGTTTAATGTTTAACATTACGTTACATAATTTTAAATTCTAATGAATATATAGTTACATATAAACTTCAATAAAGCAAAAAACTTGCGCTGGGCTCGTCCGGGATTTGAACCCGGGACCTCTCGCACCCGAAGCGAGAATCATACCCCTAGACCAACGAGCCTTGCACTTGTGCACTTGTAAATATTCTCATAAAACGGTACGTTCATTATAATTACTTTTACAAAATTTAAATACATATTCTGTTACATTTAAAGACAATTCACGATATAAATAATAAAACGAAAATATATAATGTTTATACTAACGTTAATAGAAAATAACACCAGGAATAATTTGTACATTTTTAAAGATAGGTATAGGTAAACTAGGTACCCATATTTTAGAAGAAAATAAATAAAATACAACAATTTTAAAAAAATAAATCCTAAGTAGATAGGTATAGCGGAGAAAAAAAATAATTCTATTGTAGTACCTACGCATTTACCTACATATTTATACATTTTCATCAAAGTATTACAACAAAATTGTAAGTATATTAAATACCTATTAGAAGACAGGTAGGTACCTTATTAGTAGCGAGCTTTTCAGACCATGGTTCTTACTTAACTATTTACAATCTGTATATTCTACCAATTCTTTATTCAAATTACGAATATAATTAGGTCTTCTCTAATCTTCCATCAATTAGTAACAAATTTATCTAGAAAATTACAAAATCATTCGCCAAAGTTAATTATCCATTAAATTACTTATTTAAGAAACTGTTCGTGTTCAACACATGTAGATATTAAATTTTACTAAAAAATTCACAATTACAGCATATCCATCTATTACATTTCCATAATCTTAAAAATATTTTTTTTTGTTTTTTGTAATTATAAATAATTTCAAAATGTGTGTATGTAGGGACTTTTTTAATGTCCTGGTAAATGAATACACAATTGGCACCCGTCGAATGGGTTGCCTGAACACAGGGAAAAAAGCTCTATTTTCGTGTTAATATCAGATTACATATTGCCAAATTATTTATATACAGAGTGGAATGGGACACAAAAACTGCAGGTCATTCAGTTGAATAATCCGATTGGTATATTTTTCTTTAAAATTAAAATTTTCCATTGTTTACGTGCATATTTAAAAAATGTTCCACAAAAAGCTCACATGTAACACAGTGAAATTCATTAATCCAGAAAGCTTACAGTTTTTATTAATCTTTTGGGAATTCCCTAATAAGCTAATATACCTACAAGAATTGTTGAGAGGCCGGAAAATTAGAAACATCATAGGTACATGAGATTAAACATTCAACACAAAATCCTTAAAATCTTATATCCTGGGATCTCATCAGCACACAGGTAGACACCCCCAATAGAAGAACACCAACAAATTTACTTGTTGTATTTAAACAGCATTTGCCGATTGACTACTAGTAGTGAGTGCATTGTCTGTCAAGGTCCTTTCACGATTAAGGATATCGACTTGCCAATCTCACCCCATGAATACTTAACAGAACAAAAGTTCATGTATCCTCCAAAAACGCTCACTCCGCTGTCTATAGCTGTCCAAATAACATCCAATACTTCTGTAATTATTAGTACAGGTAACAGCTTTTGAGATTTGACATCCTCTGTGACTATAATCATTATCCATTTTTTATGCCATGCATTAAATTATTAAATGTGGATTAATCCTAAAGGGCCTTCCTGCAATACTAAATGCTTCAAAGTGTCTTGTTAGCAGGACGTATACTTACATAAAAGTGTGAAAAACTTCTGCTAATATTGTGTGGAAATCTAAGTTCTCTAGCTCTAGTGCTTGAAAAATTACAACAGAAACCACATGTTACTGCACGAATCCGCGCTCGTCCAGGGTTGCACGGAATGTGACAATTTTTTAAACTTTATTTTTCTTACCAGATATCTTAGGGCTGTTCTACAACTACATTAGATATTTAGTTTTTTTGTTATGTTAGGTTACTTACCGAATACTTTGTTGTTTCACATACACAAGTCCGTCGATTTTTTATTATTTTAAATACCTACATATTTTGTATGCCATCTTATTAAAACGAAACCCTACTCTAAAAATCATAAGCACGCCAGTGAAGTAGGCCTTTGTACTGCCGGAAAATCTTTCGGTCCTGCTTCAAGGAGAGATCCTTTAAGAATTGGGAAGTTCTTCCAGCCGGACAATCGCCCTGCCATCATTAAACTTCCTTGGTTATATTAGCTCATGATATTCATTTATTAAATAATGTAATACATTTACATACGTGCATCTACACGTACATGGCACAGTACTGCTTTCACTCCTGAAATAGACCACTCCTTTTATAATAATAGTGCATCTAAATTAGTGAAAGTCTATTAAACTGCACGGCCACCAAATTGTCTTGCGATAAAATTGTAATAAAAAATGACAATAGAGAAACGATATACTAGATACGATGAACCAATAAATAAGTCATACATTGAGAATAAAGAAAAAAGAAAGCCACTGAAATTCACTCAATTTATTAAAGAATTACACAAACGCCAGCAAACTAAATTTTAGTTGTGTCTCCTTTTTTTATCATTAATAAACACATTATATTAAAAATATTGAATTCCATCACGTAAAAGTCCTAATATGTGCAGGTTAATTTGATAAACAAACGGTGAAATTCACCACATCAACATTTTTGTATTTAACAATGCAATATCTGGAACCATAAGGAATCAATTTCACATAACCCAAGACGCTCTAGAGCAAAACAATATGGCGTTTTTATTTAATGTAGAAGTAGAAGTAGAGAATACTTTTCCTGACTAAGTGCTCCTACAGATACTAACATTATCAAGGAAATCAAGGAATTTGTTTTGAGTTGTAGGAGATTTACTTCCCTGATCGCCACTGAAGACGCCGCAAAAAGAAAATTTAAAAGATTGTGGCAGGGCGACTGTGAAAGAACTGTAATTATATTACTAGGTATAATTAATTTTTATCTAAATGCGAGAGGTTAATTTTAGTTGATAGAAATTTATTATAAAATTAAAATTAAACCACTAATTTCTACATGTTTTTTGTCAATTCGACGTAGTTGTAGCTTCACCAGAAGTTACAAATTTATTTAATTTAAACGTGGACATTTCAAATTTTCGAATTTTATAAAGTAATTACTTCCAATCTACTTTATTTAGAACTAAGCGGAAATAAGCGTAGATTAAAGAGAAATCTGTGTTAAAAAAATACAAACATTCTTGCAACCATACCTTTTATATTAATTGGTAAATTCAACTGTCAGGACTTACTAAAGCGTAACGTCTTATTAAACTAAGAGAAAGTGCGCGAGATTCATACAGTAGATTACAAACGTGTGTGGGGTATTATTAGTCACCATGTACATAGATATTTCACGGAAAATCCTTTCTGTTGACTTCCAATTAATCTCTTAAATTCACTTTTCATGGTAAAGTATTTAATTCGAAAGTCCGCGTAGTTTACCAAACAATGAACAGTTTATGTACAATAATTATTATCATTCTTATGTCCTTTGTCATACAAACTTCAATCTTTCTTATAGTGTTTACTTAATTGCAGCGAAAAAAATGTAATCTCGAGAGTATTACTACATTATCGTAAATCTAAACAAATTAATTTAAGTAGTAAATCTTGAATATTATAATGCATTTGAATGTGCAGCGGATTTACAAGATATCAAACATGTAATTTTTAAGCATTATCGATTACAAAAACATCATAAAGGGATTATGTCATTTAGATATGAATAGCAAAGTAAATTGCACTTGTATTTAACTGCTCTTATTATTTTTTATTATTTATTGGTACGAAGTTTCTTATCGCATGTTATGACAGCAAGCATTCCCTAGCTTTCTTTCGAAATTTCTTTATATTTCTCAGGATATTTTTATTACGAAAAAATTGTTTCCTTTGTTATTCAGAAGTATTTGAATAAATTCTCAAAGTGCACGTAACATTAAAACAACAAGAATTCATTTGACACAAAAATTATATTATAAATTAAATGAAAATGCCCTTTTCTTTAAACTGATGGCTCTAAATTCCCTAAAGTTTAGGGAAATTTTACTAGGTCTGCTAACGCTGGTCGAAAATAAAACGTGTTAGTGGACATCTCTCTTCTTTATACTAACTGCTTGCAGAAAGAGAGAAAGACAAATAGAGAGAGAGAGAGAGAGTCGATTAGTCTGCCAATATTTATCATTAAAATTTGTCGAATAGCGTAAGAAACATTGTTCCTACCAGGTGTCCCACGATACCACACAGCTTTTTTAAATAAAAACCCTGCAGCAACCATACTATTTACACAAACGCACCATTTGTTTAAACATAAAAACAGCTGTCAGTATAAATAAATGATGCTTGTTGGTTTTAAAAGAATTGCTCTAAACCGTTATAAGTGCGCCATCGAATTCAAAAGAAACGAGGAATTTCTAATGAATAGGCTTCTTTCATTCCACAATTTCCTTTTACGTATCCTGGAGAATGTAAGCACCAGTGCATCGATCAGATTTATGGGAAAATACCTGTTACTTTTCTTAAATAATTTTTATTGTTTTGATGAACCTAACAGTAATCATAGCATCAAAAACTTCATACTTGTATTTTATACATAGAATATTAATTTGAAGATTCATTTTAAATTTTTATCGCTATAAGTTTCCTCATTAATTTAAGGCAATAATATTGACCACTAGAAATTTCAATGTATTATGTATAGAGGAAAATCGCCTAATTTTGGATAGTAATTTTTTTCAATTTAATTCAACTTATTTTGTATACATAAAAGATATTTTAATATTTTTTTTCACATAGAATATGCTACTACTTGAATGAAAACACCATATGTGTACATAAATATTAATTTCAATCGCAGAAATAGTCAGAAGTAGAAGACAGTACGTTTTTAAATTGAAAAAAAGAGTTGCCCATCCATAATTGGGAAGCTGTCTTTCAATGTAAAATTCACTCACAATTTTTGTCACTGCCAGACAATGCTCTATCGCTAAAAACGTTTTAAAACCGGATATTTAACTGGGTTCCTAATTTTGGATACCGAATTTTAGAGTATTCTTCCTATCCCAAATTAGACAGCCTTTATGTTTCAGGTTTTATCTTTCATTTTGTAGGTTCATTTACCGAAAACTATTAACAGTCTTTGAGATAACACAGTACCCAAAATCAGGCAACTCTCCAAAATTAGGTGACTGTAATTATTTTCAAAAGTTTAATTTTAAGATACAATACGTATAATCTTATTATTATATATCTTATTACAGGTACTTACCCTAATAAATATCCTGATATTGAGTTCAGGGATGTAATTTTAATTGGAACTTAATCGCAATTTACTCTTAATGAGATTTCTCAGTTAAATAATTGCTTATAGGTAAACCGTAAATTAAAAACTACTATTAGTAAAGTAATGTGATCAATAATGGTAGTACTCACAACAGGAACCAAATTATAATATTTAAAACGCTAATGCTATTTATCTAGACGCATTATTGTTAAATGGCCCAATATTTACAGTTTGTTTCAAAATATGGTACAATCTTATAAACAAGATATAGTCTAACATCTGGGCTGTGATTTCTCGGTGAAAAATCTTAAATAATAAACAACTTTTATCACAAATAAACATAATTTTAAAACTGTTTGACTTAGTTTAGTAATATCTATATTAATAATTGTGCACGTATTTCACCTTCAGTTTATATTAAAAGCTCCTGAAGATGCTTTAAAAGGTCGCAATATTTATTTTTTTTTTATTTTAGAAATTTGAAAAAGATTGTTAAAGGTGTATGTTTGAAGCGTGGCGCTGTACGGGTGCGAATCATGGACGGTGGGGACAGCGGAAAAAAAGGCTAGAAGCGGTCGAAATGTGATGTTACAGGCGAATGATAAGGATACCGTGGATAGAGAAGGTTAAAAATGAAGATGTATTAGAAAGTATAGGAGAACAGAGATTCTATGGAAGTCAATAAGAAATAGGCGAGATAGGTTGGTAGGACACCTTCTCAGGCATGAAGGTGTAGTCAGAGACATATTAGAGGCAGAAACAGGAGTTAAGAGGAGTAGAGGTAGACCTAGATTAGATTCGCAAATAGTTAAGGATGTGAAGGAGTGGAGGTGCGCGTCCAACTAGTCTTAGGACTGACGACCTTATGATGATGATGACAAACGTAGATATTTTCTCTAATGGAGTGAATGTTATCGAAAAATTAGCAGACCATGAATCTAACCAATTGGTCATTATTAAAACAGCGTTTAGCGAGATATCGAGCAGATGGGGGTAATTTTGGAAGTCTTGTTACAACTTGTTAGGAAACCCTGGAGTACTAAAAATCTGGAACTGTTTCCTCTTTTTGGAATTTCATGCCTTTTCAGCGAAATCTATTTCGCTTGATTTGCCTATCCGCTGTTCGAAGGGTGTTTTTTTAAGACCATTTTGTATTTAGTATGCTCTCATCATTAAATAATTATAAAACACTTAGTTTAAAACAAAATTAGAGCTCGAAAAACAGGTATCTTTGCGGCTACCTTTTTTGACTCTTCTGAAGGCAATTAAGATATTGATTTCGTTCCACTACGAAATTATAACTATACTCATAAAGCAAAGTGCTTTTACAACGAATAGTTACATACAGGCTTTAGGCAGGCTAGACTTTATATGCCGCAACAGAAGGAAGTGTTTTGGAACCTCAGAAGTACTCTGATCATTGATTTTCTTCGTAACGTTCTTGATGAACCAAAATTATAGATTTGCTACTCGAAGGAACTCCTCTTGACCAGCTGCTTTGACAGAATAGTGAAACAGGGAACAATCCATTGGAAAATACGAAAGTCCTCTCTATGTGACTGCTCTAACTGCGTAAGTCCTGCCTAAGTTGGTATACGACCAATGTTTGGCGAAATAAATCTATAGTTATTGTTTTGTAATAAAAGAAATAAATGTTTATTAAAAATTTGCAAGTTATTTTTCTATTTAAGTATTACGGATTTTCATTATGTAAAGTCAATCAATTATCGGAATATGTGTTACTGTGACGTAATAAGAAATATTAATAATAAAAAATTATTTCACGCCCTGTTTAGGTAAAAGTACACACTTAAATGCAGTTAGATTAGCACACCTCTATAATTTTAATTCACTGTTACAGCATTTGTAACAGTAGTGATAAAAAATAAGCTTTCGCATTGGTAACACATAAACCTTATAATTTACATAAATATGTAGGACTTGACTTCAATTCAAACATGCAAATTATATCTTGCAATTTTAAATTGTAATTGTTATTCAGAAAAGTAGACTTTGTTATTCCCAATTCTGTACAGGATTGGAAAATAAATTTAGTTATGCCCCGGGGAATCAAGAACAGTAAATCGATAATAATAATTGAAAACAGTAGGTGATTACTTTAATTACGCTTTTTAAGCTACTTTATTGTAATTAACAGTTTATTTGTTTTGAATTCTAGAAAGTTTTGCTTTATATAAAATTAAAGAAATAAATATTTACAATCAATTCCTTCTCTTCTTGCCTTTTTTTTTTTGAAATCAATTGTAAAGAGATAAGGTCTCTAAGTTCGATTACAGGAGGTACCTACTATTTATAAGATTTCAAAAATCCATATACCTACCAAATGCAAGGCATTGAATTAAGGCGAAACGTAGGTGGTCGTTTTTAAGCCTTTTTATCCTATACTGGCTTAGGGATGAAATGGTAACTATAAATCTTGATAGTCTTGTAATTTAGGTCAACTTTCCCACAAGATTCATATTATACCTTACTTATAAATATATATATATGTACATGCATGTGCCTGTAATCAGTAAAGAATTAATAAATCATTAATTGCTTCAGAAAGTCATGTGTGCATATGTATGTATTACAAAATTTAAAGTTCAGCCGGGAGTGCTGGCTGGTCAACCGGTTTCTTCAGCTTGTGTTCAGCAGGTTCATTCTTTCGAAGACCTATCCACCAGGTAGGTACTGTCTACTGTGGAAGAATTGTTGTCTGTGCAGCCACCATTAAGCAGTACTCAGGTGAAAACGGCACCAGGACGGCCCCGTTATACAAAGTCAGTGCTCAAGAAGACGTGTTCGATAGTACTTCTACCGTGTAGGCTCTGGACGGATAAAGTTTCGTGCTAACGCGGTCATTGAAGTCTCTCAAAAAGCTCTCGATATCCGCCTGTTTGCCCGAACGAGGTGAATGTTATCAAGTTCAAGTGCATTTGAAAATGTTGCTGGGAGATTCGCTAATGTTTTCTCTTCGCATTAACCGGACATACAAAACGTGACCTATTTTATCAAAATATATACAGACATAGATACAATTATTATATTTGGGATGTACTGTAATAGCCATGTGGGAATTATCCAACAGTAATATTAATAGATCAGTGTTTATGATAGATATCGAGGAAATATAGGATTCACCCACGACTGCGTGAGGACGATTTTGTTAAAATGACTCAGTGTAAAGTTTTTGTTAGAAAGGAAGGCCCAGAAATTTCTCCGTGCAAAAACGTTTTTTCTGTGAAATCCGCAAGTCGATTCAGAAGTTGACTTTTAGACTTTCTCTAGCAATTTTTGTGTTTTGTATGTGCATCTACCCGGATTAAGGATCTATTGTTCGTGACTGTGATCCTCAATTATATTGTGTCGCAAAGGTGAAAGTGTCTTGTTGTCCACCACGACTGTGAGTGATTGACCTAGAGCAAGATGGCCACTTTTGTGACTAATGCGATATTCCGCCGCTGTGCGGAGTTGCTGGCAATGTCGCTTCTTCTTCTTCTTCTGGTTTCTGGTAAGCATACCTTACTGTTATTGTGCACATACGATAGTGACAAATTAATTGGGAGGATCGAGCCACGTAATAAAAAAAATCGATAACGAAATACTGGGTCATCGCGGATGTACTGTCAAGTTATGTTAATGCGTTTTATTCGCACGGTACTTTTCATTGTACCTAAATGATGTATGCTATCAAGATACATGGGAATTAGTAGGATATCAGATGGGAACTTCTCTTTTGTTTTATTTCTAGAACAAATAAACTCATTGTTTATTCTACTTGTTTTCTTAATCTACCAATATTTCTGAGGTCCGTTCGTCAATGGCAATACTGAACACTTTACATAGTCGAGGAAGTAAAGCCCTAAATTTTCGAATTTTGTGCAGTAAGTCGGAGCGAGATGCAGTTTTCTGCATTCTAAAATCCAAAGTCCAATTTTGTTACTCTGGGGGTTTGAAGGTCGTTAAGCACGACGATGGCCTCCGAGATACCTGAAACCGACCGTCATACACATATCTCCAGGAGTACTGTTTTTTAAATTTATTAAAAATCAATCGGAATTAGTTTGTCAGGGGTTTTGATAAATGATACTGTTTAAGTTTTTCTAAAGATACTGCTTTAAATAAATTAAATTTTTTAATACACTGTTTTTTTTGATATCCCCGAATAACTAATTTCAATTGATTTCTAATGAATTGAAAAAATTACTCCTGAATTGTTCACAAAGTTTTAGACGTCCTCACGAATGCAGTTCAGAAAACCGTATCTAGATCCAACTTAGTGCACAAAACTTGGGAGGTTAGGCCTATTTTTGTGTTTTATTTCCTCGACTATTATGGCCTACATAAAATTTGATAGTTTTCCATTTTATCCTTTACTGCTTCGGAAAATAAGAGAGTAACGCAAGAATTGCCAATTTTTTCGTCCTCAAATTTTGTTTTAAACAATGTGCCAAATGATTATTTGTATGATAAGAGCATGCAGAATGCAAAATTTCATAATGAGCATTCAATATAAGAGCTCATCAAAAGATATACAGCCCCACAAAACCAGAGCACTTACCATACTCTCGGCATTTTTCGACCCAAAATTTAAATATAACATTGAAAAATCTATACCTATATGATTAACTGATTACCTCTAAAGAAATATTAACATCCTCTATATTATAGTGAAAATATGAATAAATGATGGTATTAAAATTGAAAAACTGAATACCTGTACGAACAAAAGTGATGGTTAACGCATTCACAAAGTAATTGAAATATCTGCAAAAACTACCCTTATAGATGGTATATTGCACAAAAACCCCAGTAATTGGCAAAAAATCTTGAACTCGTTAAGATTTATTGATATTGAACAACTATAAATCTGTTACGATTTAGTTTACAAAAACAGTCGATTATCCGGTGAAAAATTGCCCCTTATAAACTTAAATCAGGGAAAAAGCAGTAAATATAATCTTAAAACCTAAGGAATTCAAAACTTTTTTCTAATTACTGGGATTTTTATGCATGTCTGTTTCAATTCCAACACTTTTGTTCATGTATTCAGTCTAGAGATTTATATTATATTCCGTTTATGGAAGCTCCTCAACATGATAATCATCATTTTCCATTTTTCACCCTAAAATTATAGATTTTATATGCTGCAACAGAACGAAATTTATCCTACCATCAAGGTGGCACATCCAGAAGTGCTTCTAATCCTAATATTATACTTTTATTTGGCATTCTTTTCAAACATTGGAAAATTGAAACCACTGTTTCTTATTTATAAAGTGCATCTTAATAAAATTTACTTTTTTGAACACAGAAGATAATGACAATTAGAAAATTTTCATAAATTATTTTATTAATATGTACATTCACACCATGTTCGAAGAAGACAATGTTTGGCGGATTATGGGTAGGGGAAAACCCCCTAGCGCCGAACAGCACCTAGTACCGGATGATTATAATGATTAAATATAATTAATGACAAAAATTTTCAGTCTCTCAGTCTTTCAGAGTCTCTGAGAGCGTCTCCCACAGTTTTTCACAGTCTCTCAGTTATTGCCTAGGTATTTTTATGGATCCCGAGACTCGAACGATAAAATTGTTAATTCACAAATTCGAGTCTGTCGTCCAGAGACTGGATGCGAAATGAGGGTCTCTCTATGGGCGACTCGAGTCTCTGGTTCAGAGACGCTAAAAAGTTTTTTTGACAGTATCTCGACAGTCTCTCTCAGCGACACCAGAGAGACTCGATGAGAGACGGAGACTCGTGTCTNACCAGAGCACTTACCATACTCTCGGCATTTTTCGACCCAAAATTTAAATATAACATTGAAAAATCTATACCTATATGATTAACTGATTACCTCTAAAGAAATATTAACATCCTCTATATTATAGTGAAAATATGAATAAATGATGGTATTAAAATTGAAAAACTGAATACCTGTACGAACAAAAGTGATGGTTAACGCATTCACAAAGTAATTGAAATATCTGCAAAAACTACCCTTATAGATGGTATATTGCACAAAAACCCCAGTAATTGGCAAAAAATCTTGAACTCGTTAAGATTTATTGATATTGAACAACTATAAATCTGTTACGATTTAGTTTACAAAAACAGTCGATTATCCGGTGAAAAATTGCCCCTTATAAACTTAAATCAGGGAAAAAGCAGTAAATATAATCTTAAAACCTAAGGAATTCAAAACTTTTTTCTAATTACTGGGATTTTTATGCATGTCTGTTTCAATTCCAACACTTTTGTTCATGTATTCAGTCTAGAGATTTATATTATATTCCGTTTATGGAAGCTCCTCAACATGATAATCATCATTTTCCATTTTTCACCCTAAAATTATAGATTTTATATGCTGCAACAGAACGAAATTTATCCTACCATCAAGGTGGCACATCCAGAAGTGCTTCTAATCCTAATATTATACTTTTATTTGGCATTCTTTTCAAACATTGGAAAATTGAAACCACTGTTTCTTATTTATAAAGTGCATCTTAATAAAATTTACTTTTTTGAACACAGAAGATAATGACAATTAGAAAATTTTCATAAATTATTTTATTAATATGTACATTCACACCATGTTCGAAGAAGACAATGTTTGGCGGATTATGGGTAGGGGAAAACCCCCTAGCGCCGAACAGCACCTAGTACCGGATGATTATAATGATTAAATATAATTAATGACAAAAATTTTCAGTCTCTCAGTCTTTCAGAGTCTCTGAGAGCGTCTCCCACAGTTTTTCACAGTCTCTCAGTTATTGCCTAGGTATTTTTATGGATCCCGAGACTCGAACGATAAAATTGTTAATTCACAAATTCGAGTCTGTCGTCCAGAGACTGGATGCGAAATGAGGGTCTCTCTATGGGCGACTCGAGTCTCTGGTTCAGAGACGCTAAAAAGTTTTTTTGACAGTATCTCGACAGTCTCTCTCAGCGACACCAGAGAGACTCGATGAGAGACGGAGACTCGTGTCACGCTTTCAGAGACTTAGAGAGACTGAACATTTTTATCTTGGGTACGTAGCTCAGGTCGTTTACAGAATTATGTAATGTAAGATTATTGTCTGACTTTTTGTTTTTTTGTAAACCTACAAGTTCCTGGTTCTATGCGGTCTTAAGGATTCGAATTTATACTTTTTTGGGACTAAGTGTCAAAATATTATGAAACCAAAAACTAACCCAATGATTGATTCCATTTTCAGTGGTTCAAAAATATACAATATTTATCTTTGTTTTTGATTTATTTTAATATCTAATATGATTGTTTAAATGAAAATATTATGTATTTAAATAAAACATAATTATTCAATTTATTGTTTATTAAAAACCTTAAGTGCCCGGTACTGTGGGGACTGCCCCTACATAATACTAACCAAAATTGTGAAAATCTTTTGGAAAAGTGCGGAAAGATTAATCACATGCGTGACTAAAACGCGTGCCATAATACATGAGACACCCTCCGATCGACTTCAAATATCTATCACACACTATTTTGTAAATAGGATTTTAGGTGATTCGAGCCGGAACGCGAAATAATGGGTTTAAAATTTTACGCCTTTTAGTTCGAATCGTCAAAAGTTCTTTTAGGCATCATCTTTTGGTCTATAAAGGAGTAAAAAAGAACTTTTGGTTGTTTCATTCCCACTAGCTACTAATGCTGGTGGGAGGACAGTACTTCCGGACTACGTCGGAATATTACTGCCTAAATGATCAAAGGAAACCACAGAAAAACTTGAACTAGGGCTTCTCGAATTCTAAGCAATGGTCTAAATCTTCAGGTCGTGCAGCTCGGTTCATAACGGAGTGTGCTCGATAGAATTTTAAACCCGATCGGAGGGTGTCCCGTTTCGGAACTCCAGCCCTTTTTCTTTTAATGCCTACTTTAAATGTTTTATTATTCTTATTCCACAAACTTTTTATAAATAGATTTATTATCATCTCAGTGTCTAGTAAAAATACGTATACCTATACTTAGTTCATTATCTCTAATTATTAGCTACATACGTAACTCAAGAAACGAGAAATTTATTGTTAATTTTACACTTCGCATAAGTAAAATTACTCAGGAGTTGGTCGTCAGACCATTAAAATTTAACACAAAAAGTCCATTCGAACATGTGGTTGGCGCAAGAATGCGTGAATACAGTAGTTATTTTCAACTGCTTGCACACCAATTTAATTTACAACAACGAACCGCTGGCCATTTACTTACGTACGTGTTCAGATACGCGATAGCAGCCGTTATTTGATAAAGATTACAAGTGCAAAATTGAAAATTATCGAGGGCAACAACCTTTTGGGCATTCTGATTTTCACTTATCGTTAGTACGAGCGAAACCCAAGACGTTAAACATTAAATTTTCACAGTAACCTAAAAAGTACAGTAGGTAGTGATACACATACTATGTTATAGATGTATGAATCAGGCTGTCACATAAAAAGACTGTAATAAAATTGATAGCTAATTATCTACGACAAAAAGTATAACTTAA